AACAGTAGTTACCAGGGGAGGAAGGAAGAGGGAGCGGAGCTAGTGGATGGGACACTGTTGAGGAAGCATTGGGTTTTTGTTTGTGGGGATGAAAAATTTGGCAAAGGACATTGGTGATGATTGCACAGTATGATTGATGTAGTTGATTTCACTGAATGGTATACATGAAAAATGTTGAATTGGCAAATGTGGTGCTATATATATATAATTTATTTTTTGTTGATGTTGTTGAAAATGTACACAACAAAACATATACCAGTTCAACGATTTCCACATACACAATTCAGTGACATTCATTACATTCTTTAAGTTGTGCACCTATCCTCACCCTCCTTTTCTGAGTTATTCCTTCACCATTAACACGAGCTATCTCTACTGTTACAAAAAAAAAAAGAAAAAGTTTTCCCAGGTGATTCTAATGATCAGCTAAGGTTGAGAAATACCAACCTAATGATTTTAATAGTTTTGGTGATTGTTGTCTAAATCCATGGAATTATAAAATGGTGATTTTCTGATTTGATATTTCTTCTTAACTTATTAGCTAGAATTCTTTTAAGCAGAAAAACATTCCCTCGTCACTTATTTGGTTATTCTGAAATACAGGGAGGGCAGGATAAATACTTGATTTTTTCCCCCTTATCAGTGAGTTCAGTGAGCTTTGTTTTGGGAGTGTCATTATGAACCAGTGGATTTTTATAGATTTGATGTGTTTCAATACATCACAGTCATTTATTATTTTTTCGATGCTCAAATGATCCCTTTTTTGGTCAGTTGGCTACATATTGGTTTCTGTGTCCTTAATCTTTGATAGCTTTTTTTGCTTTCTGGCACAATATGTCCCAGGCTCATCTTGTATATTATCTATCCCAAACTTGGTTAGATATCCCAGACCTGGATCATTTTACCCAGAAGCCCTAGTTCCTGTTAGTAGAGGTGGTATTTAGAAACCACGGTTTGGGAAATAGGGATGCTTATTGCTTATGAATTAACATAGTATCTAGTCTTTTCAGTGGAATATGTTAGAATTTATATATTTTCTTAAAAACAGAAAAAGAAATTGAGTTTATATTGATATTTCCAAAATAAATTTAATAGTGTAGAATTTTAAATTAAGTTGTTTGATTTTATATTATATACTAGTATCTTTTCCCTCAAGCTAAAAATCTTGGTTCCTAATGATAA